TCATGTAATTGCTGCTTTTCAGCATAGAGAAGCACGCTGGGAGTTTGGGGCTTTCAATATCAGTTTGTCTAATAAAAGGTATAAAAGCCTTGCCTTGGTGTCACAAGTACAGCACTAGGTGAAAACCATGGATGCATACACCTAGGCATTGGAAATAAAAGTTAAATGTGCTTTTTTTAGGGCATTTCATCACTCAGTAAACAAGTGGCAGAAGCGAGAGTCTTGTCACAGAGTAGAAGGAATGTGAAGAAAACGTAAAATCTGATGTGCTCCTTAAAACAGCACATGGTGCTGCTAAAGGCAGCAACAGCATTTCCCAGCTGGCTGATTGAGGACAGCTGTGGTGGGGAACACAGCATTAGGCAGGAGCCACCAGAGGCAGCACATACTGTGTACCTCTAATGGACCTGTTCTTGATACAAAGCCAAAGCCTATCACAGCCCTAGAGTATCCTAATTTCTTGATCTGGGGAAGGTGTGACATGACATAACTTTGGAGAGCTGGAGTGTGGAAAGACTTGAGCTGGGAAAAAACCTGTGCACATGGCAGTGCCCCCAGCTGAAGCTGCCACCTTATAGGGCAGCTCCCCACCACAGCAGGACAGATGGCTGTCCCCGGGCTGAGGTCCATGTTAACAGACAGCTGACGTCTAAATCATTTAAATTCACTTGACTTTCTGACACAGGTAGAAGCCCATCCAGCAGAGCTGAGAGGGCAGCAGGCTCCAAGCAGTTGAAGAGATGCTTGGGAACAGCACTGCTTCTGCAAGGGCAGCTGTATCTGTAACCAGAGCCTAAGTGTCCCAGAGGCTTCCATCATATACAAAGGTCTCTCAAGAGGCTGTAGGGCCTGTGCTGTCGGGATCATGCTCCAACACGAGGGAGGCAGTCCTGGCAGGCACTCCACCAGCCACAGGAATGACTTTATAGGCAGCGCTTGGGGTTCTGGGCACATCAGAGGACACGTAATTTGTGTGCTCCTACTCAGTGCTCATCCCCTGGGAAGTGTCAAAAATACAAGGCAAGTGCTAAGTTAAAGCAATTCCTCTTCCACGGGCTGAAAGATGTCAACCCACAGAAGCTCATGACAAAAGGTAACAACTGACTTGACTCTTTCAACTAAATCAAGGTGAGAAGATGTCAAAGTGGCAATTAAGAGTGAAGTGTTTAAGAGACAAATGATTTGAACAGAATCACCATTTTCATTTCAGCATCATTACATGTCTCTTAATTAGAACAGATGTCTTCCTGTTCTGTGCAAAACAGAAAAGGACCTGCGAGGTCTGAAATACTGGCTCAAACACAAATACTACCACCAATTCCTGGCTTCTGACAGCAAATCCACTGCCTCAGACTGTTCCAAACCAAACCACCTGATGATTCTGGGTCCATCAGAGCTGGCTTTGCAGTGCCCAAAGCTCAGATGACATCATTTTCTCCTCCTTACACATATAAACACTGTGTTATCCTACCAGCAGTGCCCATGGAAGTCAAGCCCGTTTCACATACATTGTAGCTGTGTTTTAGCCCCCTCAGATTCACAACTGAGTTGATTTTGCTCACAGAGAGAAGACACCATCAGTCATCAAAGTTTGGTAAGCTCTTTAATGGGAAGCTCGTGTAATGACACTGCTGGATTTGACACCTTGGTGGTGGACGAGGAAGGAGGATCAGAAGGCAGGCAGTGCTCCACTGAAGGCTTACACCTTTGAAAGTGCTGAACAAAAGGGTAACTTCTTTTGCTGACTCCTTTCACAGCTTAATAGTCCCAAAGACAGAGAGGTCTTCCAGCCAGAAGAATGGTGGAAACCACACCCAAGACAGCCTTGGAATGGCATGGCACAAAATTATTTCTGCTTGGTGTGTTGAGGGCTGACTTGCCCCTGCATTAGTAAAGGAAAACTTGACAAAAGAATTACATTGACTGAAATCCAGAGCTGACACTTCTACCACCCCTAAAGATGAAAGCTTCCTTTACATGCAGTGTTACCACAGATCTTTGCCTACATGAGCAACAGCATGTTGGTACAGAAAGGGAATTTTAAAATTCAACGTATTTTACATGAAACCAGTAAGCTTCATTATAGTCAGCAATAACTAGTTCAAAGAAGTTTGGTTTTTTTTCTTGTAGACAAATGAAGACCCTTTGTTAATCTGGTTTGGGTTTTTTTTTAATGTCCAAGCTCGCACTGACAGTGCAGTGCTAAGCAGCTCTGTAAAAAATGGGGTTTGCAATAATGCAGATGTGCCTTTAGGGGCTGCTTTGTTAATCTGGTTTGGGTTTTTTTTTAATGTCCAAGCTCGCACTGACAGTGCAGTGCTAAGCAGCTCTGTAAAAAATGGGGTTTGCAATAATGCAGATGTGCCTTTAGGGGCTGTCTTTCTTTAAGAAAAAAAAAAATCAGCAATGAGAAAAAAGTCAAACACAGATAATGTAAAAGACAATTTGGCTCACTGAACAAATAAATGTGGTTAAGTGAAGAGGTTTCCTCTGCCCAAACACAGATAATGTAAAAGACAATTTGGCTCACTGAACAAATAAATGTGGTTAAGTGGTTTCCTCTGCTGACCTGCCACAGACTTCAGACACCACAGCGCAATTAAGTCTCAGAAGTCCAATAAAACCCCAAAGTGACAGGGTCTGCCCTCTAAGGACCAAATTTGAGGACTCTATTTAAATATCTGCATTGGAAGTGATGTCCCCTGAGCCTTCAGCTCCATGGTTACCCTGCAAGGACAACCTCAAGTCCAGCCTGTTACAGGGTCTAGGAGTTGCTGCTCTGAGTCACTCCTGCCTGGCTCTCACACAAAGCTTTCCCAGCTGCAGCTGCAGAGACAGGCTGCTGGGGAGGAGGGGAGGTCCTGCCAGAATTAAACACATAAAACAAAGCATTTGCCTCTGCTCAGCAATTTACAGAAAGGGGCATCCAGCTAATGCCCCTGAAGGGATCTTTCCCAATTTCCCATGTCCTCTGGCCAGACTGAAAACAGCCAGCAGAGAAAGAGACCTCCCAGTGACCAAGGCAACCAGACAAGTCTCATTTTCTGGATGTCCAACCTGGAGAGTCGCAATGGTTATGATTTTCAGAGACTGGATTATCTGGCTAGACATAACTGCTTGTGAAAAGATACTGGATTTGGCGCATGAATGACTGCTGTCTTCTGCACAACCCCTGTCTGGCATGGACCACTCAAGGGTCCTCAAGGGATAATACATCTCCCATGCCACCTCATTCTCCTGTAGAGAAAGGACAGTGTGACTCACACTGTGCTGAACTGCAGCTCCACTGATGCACCTGGCTTCGAGCTGTGGGGTGTAAGAGGTGCTTCTCTCCTCCTTCCTATGCTTCCCTTCTTCTGGGAGTGAAAACTTCTGAGAAGAACAGAATGGTAAGGACGGACAGAGGGGAAGTATGGACACAGGGTAAAGATGCAACCTCACCTCCTGCCACTGCTAAAGCTAACACTGAGTAAAACAAGCATAGACATCAGCCCTGGATTCCAGACAAAGATCAGAAAAGATGCTGAAAGAGGCTGGGAATATGTCTTGAATGGCAGCTTTCCAAAACAATGTCCACAATGTTATTGCAATCATTTTTACTGTCACAGTCTCATGTCCCACCTTGCAGAGGAGTAAAGGGCAGGGACCTACTCAGCAATGTTGCAGCAGAAACTCCTCTTCTCTGCCCCCAGCCACCATACCACACAGCACATCTTCCGTGGGACACAGTCACAAGATGCAGCAGCTGACATGCATGAGATTTTCAAAGGCATGGCACTATGCATGGAGGGAAACTTCCTGGAAAAGAGCTGGGAGCAGGGCAGGAGGTGGAGCTGAAGTCTGGTAAGGGCTCAGGTCATCATGCTCAGGGGTGAGCTATTCCCCCCGTTTCTGTGAGATAACACTCTGAACAATTTTCTTCTCTCATAAGCAAGTCCTTTTAAAAAGATCTTACTATGCACCTAAAAAAGGAGCTTCCTGCACCTTGACTGCTGCTCCTACCAACTCACACAATATCATAATGCTGGAGAAACAGAACAGGCTTTTCAGTTTGCCTTCTCTATCCCTTCCTCCCCCAGCCATCTCAATGCATTAATCAGACAGGAGGACACTAACAGGAAAACACACCTAAACTCAAGGCCTCAGTAGTGTCTCCAGAGGAGCTTTTTGATAAACTGCATGGGTTCAATATGCAGCTACTTGGCAGGATGGCTTTGGCTGTCTCAGAAATATCAGCATCTCTCTCTCTGAAGGGGCTTTGCTCACTCTTGCCCCTGCACTTGTCACAGTTCTGAAATCTGTCTTTCCATCTGGCATCCCATGTATTTCTCATCACCCAAGCAGCACTCTGCTTACTGCACTCATGCAACTCATATTCAGAAGCACCAGTTCTGCAAGAGGCTCTGCTCTGCTGTATTTATATTTAGTTAGAGCACGAAATGCCCACAAGAAAGACCGAGGGGAAAGGGAAACCCTTCTGTGTCCTTTCATTACTGGTTTGCTCTGAGGATAGGCAACGATAATGCATATCTCTGTTCACCCACAGACCTAAAGTGCATTTATATATACACTGCTGGACAAATAATACTAACAGTCTTTTTTAGAAAAGGCTTAAGGTGGGACTTTCAAGGGAGTTACCCTGCTCCTGCTAAATTTTTCAGAGGTCTGGAGGCCTGCACTGAATTTTCAGAGTCTGAGACCCATCTAAAGCTCAGGGCAAGGCAATGGCAGAGCTACAAACCCACATCTCACTGAGTACCCAGGTCTGCAAGCATTTATGCATGTGTTGGCAAATCTTGTGTCTCAGTCTGGCAGCCTAGTCACAGGGTCATGCTACCCCTGATTAATTACTGAATGGCTACTTACTGCAATATGTGGTAGGAGGGAGGGAAAAATAAAATACAAATGAAATATAAAAACATGCCATAGTACAACCAAACCAGCTCCACACCTCTTGCATCATTTGGCAAGTATGGAAAAGTAACACAGTAATACAGAAATGTATTTGGTCAAAGTAAGGAATCAATATTTTTTGATAAAATACATTCTATATTAATGCTCATTCACATTTATTACATGTAAATTAAATTTTTTATGTATAAAATTCCAGTTTATTCTCAGTGCTGCTTGGTCATGCTTCAGTTCAGGAGCAGGGCTCAACATGTTCGGCTCCTAGCGAAGAGAGAGGGAATGAGAACACTCAGCTGTCTGCAGGACCAAGCCTCACACATACCCTGGTCCTGCAGGTCCTGCCTGAATAAAATCTCTCTGCCTTTAGTGGGAGTTTTGCAGGGGAGAGTGCTGTAGAAGGGCTGGCTGTCCAGCACCTGCAGTCTGTGTGGAAGTCACTCAAATGGCACATGACATTCCAAAGAAAAAGTGAGTTAGTGAATACAGAAAATAACAGTAACATATCTACATAATTTACAGCATTGTTTGCTTGCAACTGTATTAATGCTCAACCGCTCATTAACTATTCAATCAATATGCAGGGAAAGGTAGCAGAATGCAGTACACATTACAACCTTCTGCATGCAATTATAAGCACTGGATCTTAGTCTTTCCTCATTTTATGAATTCCTGCTTATCCTGCTGCTACCAGTGCCCAATTCCCACTGAGCCTTGTGGAGTCAATCCCTCACAGGATTTAGGCCAGCCCACATCTCCACCACAGGCCCCTGACACTGTGCAAGGCGCATTCAGCAGCAGCTCCTCAGTTACTACCCATGTCCACCCTGCACCCTCCCCTCTGCTGTGCCAGCACTCTCGGTGCAGCCACACGCTGAGCCAGGTGTGGGACAGATCCAGCTGGAAGCCTGCCTGTCTGTAAAAGGCAGAGGGTTGTGTCCCAGTCAGGCCATGCTTGCAGCCCAGCTCACTGTGCAGGTGTGTGTGGGGTGCCTGCACCTGCACACTGGGGCCAGCCACCTGCCCATCCAACAAATGAGTGAAGCGCCCAGCAAACCTGAGCAACAGGACTTTGCCTCCAGCTTGCACAACTGTAAATTGCTTGCTTGCACTACAGCAGAGCAGAGGAAAGTCAGCCCCATAAGATCTACTTGTGTGAGTCACAACCCAAGGGTTGGATGCTATGAAGAGGGAAGTTCTTCCAAAGGAAGGCTCTGCTTAAGGTTGTAGCATCTGTCCTAGCTGGAGAGGAAAAAAAAATTTAGGGGCTTAAAGCAGGGATGGAAACCACTGGTCTTAGACTTTATTTCAGTAAGCAAAAAGCCTATTGCTGCTATACAGTGTTATACAGTGAACTGCCACAGTTCTCACATCACTAGTCCATAGAAAAGGTGCTGCAACTACCATGTCTATGCCTGCATGCTGAAAGAATGTACAAAGTTGCATTAAGCTCTGTTTTTCTTCCACTTTTTAAAAATATTCTTAAACTCTGACTTTTACAGTGTTGCAGACACTTCTGTGCAGACTCAGGTAACACACATCATCCCAGTTATGGAAGATCTTTGCCACCGACAGAAAAAATCATGTGCTATGCATCTGTCAAACCACCATCATAAATGTAAACCATCAAGAAAACTTGCTCTCTTCAGTAACCCTGGAAAAAGAGTCTTTAAAAAATCTATTGAAAAGGAAACATCATTAACAACAGGGTTTTCAAAATAATGCGAGTTATTTATAGGAATTGTCCAAGCATTTTCTCTTCGTTCACTCTTTTTTTATAAAGCTAATTCTGTATAAAAGGGCTTTTGAAGCGTGTGACCTTCGTTTTACAATCTTTAAAAAGTTGGAAAAAAAGGAGTAAATTTAGAAACATTGTTCTTGATTGTGGAAAACAGCTGTATTACAACAGAATTACCTTTGCTTCTTATATTTTCAGTACAAAAGGCAAGTAAATAAAGAGACCCTGCATCTTCACAGTCTGGCACTCATCCAAGTTACCTAGAACTACGTAGAACAGGTAAAAAGTATGAGGGGTCATCTTCTTCTTCATACTAAGACCCTTGCTAAACCCCTTGGGAAACAAGTCCCCTGATAAGTAAAACCTCACTAGATTTTATATCAGCTAAAGCAGTATTTTAGCTCCCCTCCAATAAGGTGTACATGCCCAGACTTGCTCAAAGGCCCAGGAAGAGGTCCAGCATAATTTTAAGAGCCAGGTGCTGGTTGATACCCTTATGGCTTCAGTGTTAAGTTGCATTCAAGTTGCACTCAAGGAAGATCCCGGAAACTATAGGCCTGTCAGTCCTCACTTCAGTGCCCAGTAAAATCATGGAAAATATTATTCTGGAAGGTATATAAAAACACCTGGAGTACAGTGCAGTCACTGGTCATAGCCAGCATGGCTTCATGAAGGCAAAGTCCTGCTTGTCGAACCTGACTTCCTTTTGTGACAAGGTAATCCACCTGGCTGATCAAGGGAAGCAAGTTGATGCCATATATTTGGAGTTCAGTAAAGCTTTTGATACTATATCAAAAGTATCCTTCTTACCAAAATGTCCAGCACACAGCTGGATAAACATATCATGGGATGGGTCAGTAACTGGTTCACAGGATGGGCACCAAGGGTTACAGTGAATAGGGTGGCATCAGACTGGTGATCTGTCACCACTGGGGTTCCACAGGGCTCCATCCTTGGCCCTGTGCTCTTCAATATCTCATTGACAACCAGGACACAGGACCTGAAGGAATACTAAGTTTGTTGATTACACTAAACTGGGAGGAGCTGTCAACTCTCTTGAGGGCAGAGAGGCCCTGCAGAAAATCCCTGACAAGTTAGAGAGATGGGCAATCACTAACTGTGTGAAGTTGAACAGGGGCAAGTGCTGGACTCTGCCCTAGTTGTGTGTAAAGACCAGGGAATGAGAGGCTGGAGAGCAGCACTGCACAAAGAGACCTGGGATCCTGGCTGATGGCAAGTTGAACATGAATCAGCAGTGCCCTGGCAGCCAGGAGGGCCAAGTGTGTCCTGGGGGGCATCAGGGACAGTATTGCCAGCCAGGCAAGGGAGGGGATTGTCCTGTCCTGCTCTGCTCTGCTCTGCTCTGCACTGGGGCAACCTCACCTCAAGTGCTCGGGGCAGTTTTGGGAGCCACAATGTAAAGAAGACATTTAACTATTAGAGAGTGTCCAGAGGAGGGCAACAAGGATGGTGAAGCGTCTAAAAGGGAAGCCTGGTGAGGAGTGGCTGAGGTCACTTGGTTTGTTCAGCCTGGAGGAGACTGAGGGGAAACCTCATTGTGGTCTTCAGCATCCTCAGGAGGGGAAGAGGAGGGGCAGCTACACATTTCTTCCCTCTTGTGACCAGTGACAGGATCCAAGAGAATGGCCTGAAGATGTCAGGGGAGGTTTAGGTTGGTTGTCAGGAAAGGTTCCTCACCCAGAAGGTGGCTGGGCACCTGAACAGGCTCCCCAGAGAAGTGGTCACAGCACAAACCTGGCAGAGTTCAAGAAGCATTTGGACATTCTCAGGCACACTCACGGTGCCCTGTACAGGGCCAAGAGTTGGACTCAAGGATCCTGATGGGTCTCTTCTAGCTCAGCATATTCTATGATTCCATGATTCTAATGAACAATGCCATGAGGTTTGAGTAATAATTTGGCAGTGTATCAAAACCAGCAAAGCTTAAAGTTAGTTGTCATGCAGAAGTGGGATAGTTGACAGCGATTTTTTACTTATTTTGTAAGAAAGCAGCACTTGCCTTTGGATCACATGGTATCAAAGTACCAGGGCTGGTCATAATGTGTGCTGCTGGTGTCAGTTATTCCCAGGTATTAATTCAGCACTTGGAAACTCAGGTGTCAGTGAAATGACATCAGTATATCTGACATCCCCTGGATTTCCTACTTCCCACTATTTTTGTTAAACCTTCATATGCACTTCTGCAGCACCAACAACTACTAAACTACTGTTTTTCAGGAGAAGTCTCTCCACGTTTGGTACTTTGTCAAAAACCTATAGCTGTTGAACTAAAAAGAAAAGCGCAGGTGGTGTTTGCTCTCTGCGCTGGTTTCCTTGGAAAGGTCACGGGTGAGGACTTGGCACTCTCCCCACACGCCTCCTACATTCTCAGTACTCTACATTCATGTCAGCAAACACTACTCTCGAACACAAATCGAAGAGACAAGTCAGCGACAAAACTACTTCTAGACTGATAACGGCAGAATGCTACCAAGACAATTCCATAGAAAACCCACTGAAGCAGGAGCAAAATTCAGGTCACTTCTTAGCAAAGCTCATCACGGATTATTATTTTTTTTTTTAAACCATGTTTTGTAAAACTTTTATCTTGGCAGCCAGATATCCCCTTGTGATGTGCTAATTCAAACAGGCTAACGTGGGACCACCTGACCCCACCTGGTACCAAAGGCTTCCAAATTTTTTTATAGCGTCTCAGAAAATCACTGCTGACTGACACCCATCTGTTGGTGATCGGCTTCTGGCTCCTCTTCTTCCACATCTGCGTTATATTCTTCAAATGCATCATCATCAACATCTGGAAGCCCAAGTAACTACAAAGAAGAGAAAATACTGTGTAACAGTAAATTACCCACTCGTGCAGCTTTGCTGCAAATCTTCACACAAATCCTATGTGCACTTCTTAAAAACCTCAAATCTTGGAATAACAGTACTGCATAATGATCTTGACTCTCTTTCTCTCCCTCCTGGGATATAGAAAGATTTGAAAATGCATCCTCACACCAAATTAAGCGCTCAGAGACTGGAAGATAAATAAAACCAAAACAAAGCACTTGCAAAAAGCTTCACATTCTTCCCTGAGGTCACATTATGAATTGTTGAGTGTTTAGACTTGGCAGTGGTTTAACTTCAGAAAGAACTATGATAATACTCTAGCAGTAGTTGTCTTAGTTTAAGTTTTTTCATCAGCCCTATAAAAGCAAAGGAGAAAACATCCTCATGAAGGACTGCCTAGTGTGGAATAGACAAAAAGTCCCTAAAAACCCAAAGAACCTGCCATGTTCTTGGGAACCAAATGCTGTACTTGAAGCCTTCACTCCATCACACCAGATAAAGCCTTGCCTGCTGTGTGAAGCCCTTGCAGTAAGAATTACTGTGTATTCCACTGAAATACTGCCCCTTTAAACTTCTGCAAATTAGATTTGGGCTTGCAAGGAACTGCCAGTCCATCTCGCTTGGATAATGTTTGGATGCCTCCACCTGATGGCTCCAACCTCTGCAATGTCACCTCTTCAGTACAGGAAAAGGAGCAAACAGCCATATTTGAACTTCTCCCCTCTCCCAAAAAAGGTTGCCATGCCAGCAGAAGTCAGTAAGACAGATAAACCAAGTAACAGTCAAAAATAACGCATCTGTTGTGGAAATCTCAGATTCCTCCACTAACAGCTATTAACAGCCACAAAGCAAAATCATAGGCCCAGCATTACTGAGAATACCATGTATTTAGCTTGCCAGGGCTGGAAGAGCAGCACAGATGCATGTAACACCCTCTTTGGAGAGTGATGCAGCTGTTAGCTCTTGAAAGAGGCAAAGCTCAGAAAAATCGTGAGGAGGGTGACACTCTTTAGGTGAGAGCATGGAAATGAGAAGGCTGCAATGAGGCAGATTTTCAGGGACTTTAATTCAGTCTGCGATCAACATTCAAAATTATTCAGTGGACATAAATACAAGGCATAGAATTAGCTTCTGGGTGCAATGAAGCTTGTATTCCTCACTGTCACTGGGAGAAAACCAGATTTTTAGTTACAGGCTTTCTTCAGCAGGGAAATGGAAGGAGAATTTGCTGACTAAATCCCCTCCTTCGCATTTTAAAAATACTTACAGGGAGACCCCAAATGGAAAACGTTTTTGTTTTCCGAGCAGAACAAAGTAATTTTTCCTCTGCACACATATTTTTCAAATCAAATGCTTAACTGAACATGAACTGCTCAGTTCATTTTCAGGATGCGGGGGTTTTATTTCGTGTTGAAGCTAAAATTAAAATACTCAGTTTTCAAAAGGAAAAATCAAGGACTGTTTCCAGACCTTCTTATATACCAGTATTATTTTTGATAGACTAATCTGGTATATTCAAATTAGATGTGAGTGTTGTACTCCTGTTTGTATCACCTGGCAGAAAGAGTTTTGATTGCATTTTTTTTCCCCACCTCTGGTCATAATTCCTTTTTGATTTGCAAGGAAATGAGTCACATGAACCTTCATTTTATGGGATACTGTACTGCAAAATTAGCATGGAATACACAACATGCACCACAAGAACTCCAAACACACGCACAATCCCAAAGGATGGGGAGTACATCCTGCTTTTCACACATCCTCTCTCTCTTCACCATCAGGAAATCCAGCTTCTCTTTCCCCTGAGCAGCGTAAATCAGAGGGAGCAGTGTAAATCAGAGTGATGCTGTAGACTTTAGTGGTTTCACAGAGGAAGAATGGGGGTGGGGTGGGATGGAATGGGATTCTTCTCCAAGGGAGATGCAGTTTTATTCTCTGACAGACACTTTATGACCCTTCAAGTCACCAAGGACCTCAACCATGCAGGTCTTGCTTTTAGGTGTCACATCCTGTTGCTTCCCACAGGATTATGATGGTCCCTCACTGCTGTTAACCCCTTACTGCTCTCTGGACAGCAGTGACAAATCAGCCCACACCTTCAATGGATCAGGGTCCAAAGCACAGGAAGCTCTACAAACATTGGGACAAAACAGAAGGAGGGCATATAAAAGGTAAGGACAAAGTAAGATGATGAAGATGGCCTGGGCTGATCCTAGATTGACTCCCACCTTGTCTTCTTTCCCACACACTAGTTTCTGCTTCTAATCCATAGCTGCTATTTTGAAGTATCAGCTATGCAGCAGACTTGAAAGAACTTAACTGCAGAGGAAAACAAGGAGAAAAGACATAAAACAGAAAACTGTTGTAGGAAGAGAGAGCTGATTCATCACCAGAAAACCCAAGGGGAACCAAAACTGCTGGGCAGGGATGCATGGCTAGGAGAAGGTCAGAGGCATGGTGAGGAGGGAAGAAGGGAGGATAACAACCAGCAGCATTGCCTGAACGACAACTATTTATTTCTGCTGGCCAAACTACCCATCTGGAGGTAAAGGAGAGGTCATGGGGACACGCATGAGTACAATGAATATGGAATAAATGGCTTTCACACTGCAGACTCCCCACTTCACATGTAGGCTTTCCAGGCTGAAGATGAGCTCAGTGTAGGACCCTTGGAATCTGCTGCTGAATTGTATGACTCATGCCTTGGTTTCCTGCAAACTTTGCCAGTTGGTGTCATGTCCGTCAGGCATTTCTTATATTTGTCTTTCTTAACCCTTCCAAAGTACCCTGATTTTACAAATAACCTCACAGTTACTAACTCACGGAAGCAGAGTGACACTGTCCCCTGCCAAAAGCTGGCACACAAGAACACTGAAAAATAAACCACATACAAGACTGAACTTTAGCAGTCCATGTGATGCTACACTAGAGATAACACAGTTCTGTTGAATCCCTGTGGGAAGGACTATGTCTCCGGACAGATATGCTTGAAAGCACCAGCATGGGCACCTCCTAGCACCAGAGCATGGCATCTCTGAGAGATGAAAACATAGGAGGAGAAGGGATGCTCTGCGGCAAAAAACAGTATCTGAGCCCAGTGCTATTGGTTGATATCATGTACCTTTGTGGTGTCTGGCACTTCTGGATGCCCCCTGAAGAAGTGGATAATAAGACAAATAAAGTTTTGTGGAAACTGACCCAAGAAAGCAGTAATGGGTAGAGACAACATGCCCCTCACCACCTTCAATAAAGAAACACCTTGAGAGGTGTGGATAGTTGTTGCTGGCAAACGAGCACTTTTTAAAAGCCTCATCTAATTAAATATCCCACTTGGCACTGTGTTTAGGCACATAAAACACTAGGGAGAGATGCCTGAGAGCAGTGAGGGACAGTGAGCAGACCTAGACCACCCTCACTGCCTTCTGTGCCCAGGGAAGACTGGGCAAGAGGGAATTTTCTGTCTCTCACTGAGAGGGATGCCAGCTGCTGGACATTCATATTCTCACTGTCTCCAAAACACAGGGCCCAGCAGCATGAGAAGGCAGTCCTTTCCCACTCCACAGCCCCAGGGCAAGCTCATGGAGACATGGCTGGGCTGTTATCACGAACATGCAGAGCAGGGCTGAGCTGAGTTACCGGAAAAAGTTGTTTTTGGAGCCCTCAGTTATGGGAAGGCAGATGCTCATGCTGTGCAAAACAGCATGGAAAGCTGCAGATGCACTGCCACTGTTTTCTTCTAAATATTTTCCTTCAAAGGACCTCAACAAAGAATTTCAGAACTGCCTAGTAATCACAGATGTCTACTGGGAATACCAAAATGGAGAAGACTTTCAGAAGGTGTTTTACAGTGCTTATCAAGAACCTGCTAAAAACCTGGTCCACAGTGTCCCAGACTGGGAGCCAGAGCCACCAAATACTTCAGAAAAGCCCAGTCTGACCTTCAGTTGCAGTTTTTTCCTGAACTGCCATTTTTCACACTGGAGTTTGACAGACTGGTCTCTGTCAGCTGATTTGCTGCAACAGAGGAGAAGAAATGCCCTGCAAATGCACTGTTGCCTTGAAGCTGACAGCAAGGTGGTCTCATTAGTAAAATGGGTCCAATTCAGAAAGGACAGGAGACAGTACGAAGTGATGCCAAGGAAATAATTTCCCAATCTCAAACAAAAGTGGTTTTGTTTTGGAAAAGGCCTGAGGGTGCAAAATACTGTTTCCATACATCTACTGTAACATCATTCAATTTTTAAAATCTTTCCCTGTATGTGCTATTTTTAATAGTTACTTTTAGGAAAAAAATACGTTCCTTGATTAGACCTGTCTACACACAGCCATACCTCAAAGGATAAACCCTTATGCTGAGGCAAATCTCTTAATAGTGGATGAAAGGAGAATCTGAGAAACCTAATATCTGTGGTACAAGAAAATGAAGAGCTACTTGATTACAGTCTGAAAGAGGTTTCTGACAACTGAGGACACAGTTTTTGTGCAAACAAAAGCAAAATGAAATTCAACAGCTAGGAAGCAAAACTAGAAAAATGCAGATTGTAAGCAAAAGAGTTATTCAGAGCCATAACTAGCTTGAGAAGAAAAAGTGCCCAGCAGTGTTGTATCCTTTAAGTCACCTGAAGACTACATCAGTTGGTGTCTTTGGAAAAGACACATTCTAGTTCAACCGTATTTTATACGGTCAGCTGTGGGAATCATGAGGTGAAATGTGATGTATTAATGAAGGGCTCAGGATACACGAGCATAATGGTTCCCCTGACTTTCAACCTTTTCATTCTAAAGAGTAGCTCAACTTGGCTTGACTGAAGTAAATTTCTCAGTAACTTAAGTTATGCTGGAATAAATGCAGTTTAAATGAAATAAGTAATCTGCACCAATTTAATTAAGTCTTTTTTAAGCCCTCCTTAGTTAAACCAATGGAAGTTCCTCATCAAAGGCACAGCTTCCCTGAGCAGGAAAAGACAGCTCTGAAGATCTTAGAGCCCAATATTGTTCCAGAAAACATACTTATATTTTTTGCATGTTTTCACAATTACAAGCAGCTGTAGTGACAGATCAGATTTCCAGCCCTTTCTAAGAAAAGTGTGCATCTGTTCTATTTATTTCTAGCCTCTCAAAGGATTCTTTAAAATGATGCTCTTTTATGTCGACCAGCTGTGGTGATCTGTGCAAGGGTGTAACACAGGGAGGGCCAGTGTTTTCCTATCAGTGCTCCAGGCCTTCCCTTTCGCACTAAATACTTGGGATACATCTCCAGTCTTCTCAGTGAGTCAGCCAGAAAAAGACAGGAGGGGAAAGTTGAGTATAAAAGCGTGCATTGGTGAACTTTCTCATGGACATGACAGGAGAATGGCTCTGGCTACAAACCTTCCCCTGCTCTGCACCAAGCCCTTAGCCAGCCCTAAACATTCAAAAGGAGCATTTGGCAAAAATTAAGGACAATGGCTAGCTTAAGATACCTCACCCTGATGAAATCCTGGTTTTGACACAAATCTTAGTATTAAACAAGGACGGAGAAAGCTGAGTAGCAGCAAAACAGAAAAATACAGGCCCCCTCCTCACAAAACCCAGCTTCTCTTCCAACTTCCTCTCAAGCAGTGACCAAACCAGTGTGTGCAAATACCAAATGGCAACCATCCTAATAGCAAAATATGCATCACTTGGGGGAAAAAAAACCCCAATCATAAAAAAAAATTAATCACCCTGAGGAGAGACTGTACTTCCAGTTTCCCAGAGGTTTACTCTTGCTGTTCATATCCTTGCAAAACTCTCCAATTCCAGTGCCAGGAACCAACTCTGCCACAAAGTTCCGCGGCGCTGACTCGTATCCCGTTCCTTGGAGTCAGTGCTGCATCAGCAGGATGCGAGCCCCTGCCCGCTGCCACCAGCTGACACATCAGTTGGCCTGCCATCCCGCACGGGAATCTCATCCTCTCGAGCACAGAGTTGGAAATAAAAAGGCAGCTGACTTTCAAGAAACAATTTCCAATTGCCTGATGCTAACTTATGTGCTAATACTCCTGTACCCAGGGAGCTAACTGGAGATGTAAATCTCTGGAGAAAGAAAAAGAACAGCTTGCTCTACCCAGTGCTGTCCTATTAAAAGTCACAGCTAACTGTTAATGTTTAGAAGGGGAAAAAAAGCACTTACAGGCCTGAAGGATTTGAAGACTTTTTCCAATATTTCATGGAGCGTCTTTTTCCCACAGGAGGAGATGTAGTCCTGTGCGAGCTGCAGAAAAGGTAAGCAGTCCTCACTTTCGCTCCACACGTGCTGAAAGCCAACAGCAACACAAGAAAGGAAAGGCATTAACAGGAATTCACGCCAATCTTTCCATGTGATTTTATAAGGTGACATGTTGTAAACATCTGCCAAAGTACACCGAGCCTCCTGCAGTTCAGACCCGCCCTGGGGACAGGCATTGCAGGCTCTTTCAGAAGCCATGTTTCTCAGAAGAAACCTGGATTTTATTAACATGATGCATCAGAAATCAGGGAAATTGATCCAGAAACAGAAATGCCTCATGGTTGCACCAGCCATGAAGTGTACACGCACATGGCGCGGACACATTTTACCTATAAAGGTGCTTTTGTTCAACATCAGCCCTGCTCAGACCTGGAAGTCATGCTGGGTTTTCTCTTTTTCTGCATCATCTGCTGCAGTGAAGCCCTCAGGAAGAGCTAAAGCATCTCTTTGTCTTCTGGCATTAGTGCAAATATGATGCGACCCTGGAGGTGGAATTTGATGTGTAATTCTCTCGACGATGCAGAAGAAAAGATGCAAAATCTGCCTGCAGGCTAGACTCAGAGCCAAGGAGAGATGTTTGGGCACTCACAGCATCCTGACACTTTGAGCTTCCCACCCTGTTTTGAGATTTACTCCTCCTGGAACACAATCTTCTCTTCCCAGGCAGGCACATTTAAACCCACTTGAGACCCTCCCGTCTTATTCCTGCTTGGGAGATATTGGTTCCCCAGCCTTACACTCAAAGCCTCTCTCAAAACTGATGTTTATTCTGCTGCTAGGAGGTTGTTTGAAACAGAGCTGGCAAGCGATGGAAGGAGCACCCAGACAACAATGCTTCCTGTTCCCAAGGGCACAAGCTAATGCATCATCTTAAACACCTTCTGTTTGAAAACTTGGTGCATGGGACTGTCTTAGCAGCCTGCCACACAGAGGAGTGCAATACTGCCAAATTGGTTTGAGACACTTGTACCTCTCTTTTTGCACAGCAGCTCTTTTCCCCAGAGTGTCTTTTTACTTGCTATAAACAGCAGGCTATGCTTAAACAAGGAAAGAAGAGGAACTCTCCAAAGCTTAACTAACATTCAGGGAAAGACTCAAAACGACAGATGTTTCAATCCCTAGCGTAAGACTTGCATATTGCCTTCCTCTTCAGCAGTGAGTACCTGCCAGGGATGCAGTTTTGCACTTAACAAAAGAAAACAGTACTTAACATCACCTAAACCGCACCTTTAAGATAAAACCTGTAACTGCTTTGCTATGAACCTCACTTGACCTACATTTTCTTTGCTGCTTGTTGCACTTTACAAGCATAAACATAGTGAAATGTTTTGTTATGAAAAGAGCCCTGCATTACTGAGTAGGTTCTGCTCTTTCAATATAACCAGAGTCATGTCTTAACCATTCTGGCAATAAAAATAAGTTCTTTACAGTCTTGCCAACTCTCAAACACACATACCACAAGTCTCATGATGCTTCATGCCATCTTAAGAGTCATGGGCCTTGTAATCCTATAAATATACAACTAAACCTCAGCTTCTGTTTATATAAAAAAAAGCAGAAAAAAGTCTGCACTTTGTGATTCCTATGGCCTAAAAAGGCAGAATGTACATGAAGTGAACTGAAATGAGCACTCTTCAAAACATCAAATGAACACTTGGAAATCACATTTTAAAATCAGCCTTTGGAGAAGGTTTTGGAGGTCTGGCCCATGATTTCTTCATACTTGGGGTTAGCAATAACTGTTTAGCTACTCCTAAACTTCAGAGCTGAATGTTGCAGCTTGGCAATTCCTGGCTTGCGCCAAACCTGTTGCAATTGTTTATATATATAAAACAATTATGACTGCTGAGATCCTCATTCTTGTTTAAATTGTGGCTTCTTTTGACTACCAGAGCTATACACAGGAGCTTCCACATAAATGAAAGTCAGGGCCTGCCCTTTAATAAATCATTGTGGTTCGTTCCCCAGGGCAAGTTAACCCCATGTTGTCCTATCGTGTTTTTACAATCTCTTTTCAAGCTGCAGCACATTTTAGACACCGGTGTAAATAGCAGTAGGCAGAGGAAGATGATCTAACACAAGAGGAAAACCTAAGAGAATAACCTGATCACTGGGTTTTTGAGGATATTTTTTGCATAGCATCAGAGGACAATTAGCAAGTAACAATTCCAAAAACCTCCCCATCTGCAGAGGATTTAAAATGTTGACTGTAGCAACAAACGCATTACAAAAAGTTCCATGTGCCATTAGTGCACACATCTCATTTGGAAATGGATTGATTTAATCTTCTCCCTCAAAAACCTCAACCATAATAAAGACCAGGGCTGTAAAGCCTGTAGGTTCAGCTGCATCTACAGCTCTCTGTGGTGCTTCAGTGCTGCACCCAGGCAGTGCAGGAACTCTCTCAGCACTGACTCAACCACCTCCAGAGGAACCTGCAAAAGGAATTTCGGCCTTTCAAAATAAAAACAAACGTAATTTCAGGATTCAGCTCCTGCTTAGAAAGTTCAGTAAGGCTGCATAAATGGAGATGCTTTTCCTGGAAAACCCCACGCCTGAGGATCTCTCTGCAGTGGGAGAAGGTGGGTGCTGGCAAACTGGTGGACCACAGTGCTTGGCTCTGGCTGTGCAATTAACAAAATATTAACCTCATCATCAGAGTATGTGTTTTCCAAGCTTGCCCAGTTCTGCTCACAGTTGCTTTGTGTCACTACAAAAGCACACAGCCACTAATTTCCACCTCAGCCGACCTAAGATCATGGTTGAATTATTTAGTTTAGCATCTGCACATAGCACATAGCTGAGGAAATCAAGAAGGTTGCATCTGGAGGGGTTTGCTTTCCCTCACACCTTTAGATGACTCAGTGTAGCTGGATGACAGAATCACGTGCTGGCCCACCTTTTCCTAAGCAGCCCACTTGTTGTGCATGACAGCAGAAGTTCTCATTTATGGGGAAAATTTGACTTGCATAAAATACTCAGACCCGCTGACTCTGTTCTGAAATATTTTCAGGAAATCTTGCAGCAAGATGGCATCATATTTTTATTTATTTTATCAGTCACTTTGAATATCAGTAATAACATGGTGACAAAACAAATGACAGACTGTAAGGAATAGCATCTCAACCCTCACTCTCCTTGATTATGGCTATACAAATCCAATTAATTTCTCGAGAACCTCAGGATCATCAGGAGGTGAATAGTACATTGTTCAGCTATCTAAAATGCTGATTTGGAGTTTCAGTGTCCAGGTGGTACTGAAAATGCCAACAAGCATCTACATGGGTCTCCTCTGTCTCTAGCATGTTAAAAGCCTAGCCTAAAGATATCTTTTCAGGAAATGAAAAGTATCAGATTGTTATGATCTGGGATCTCTGATGTTAGACAAAATTCAGTGTTTTTCTCCCCCAGACTGCATCTTGGCAACCTTTCCAAGTTTTTCTCCTCTCCTCTTTCCTTTTAAGTTCATCATGCTCATCATTTCCTCCTTACAAGTGGGTTATCATGGAATTCTCTGGCACCTCCTACATAGCTTTTTAAGTCGCATCATTATGAAATGACGACGTAAAGAAAGAACAAGAATACCAGGCATCAAATGCTTACTAAATGTGAGGCTCCTTTATAAGAGGCACAGGGCGCAAGAAGGCTGTGAAGTGTGTCACTGTGAATTCTGTTTATATTTACTCACTTTCACACTCCACACTGTGTTAAAGGAGCCATGCAACAAGGCTTTAAAGTGCAAATGATAATCAGTCCCTTGGCTTGTATTAAGTCTCCTCAAAATAAACTTTAGCCTGTGATTGCACGCAGAAAGCAAAGTTACAATCTGGAACATTAAAAAAAAAAAGGAAAGTGACTGCAAAAAACCAAGATAATCAAGCTGGGAGCAGAAATTAAGTCCCACAGTGCACTAGGAGAAGGAAACAGGATGCTGGGGAATTATTAGTGCGTCTTAATCATATTAAAGAAACAGCACCTCTTTAAAGAAAAATAATTAAGAATGAACACCTATCTGCCTGTCTTAAAAGTATTAGCATTACAACAAGTGACTCAACCAATAAGGCTAGAAAAGACAGAAGATGTTTTCACATCACGTCTAGTTTTCCACTGCTTATGTTCCAGATTTGACAGGAATTGGCCCCTTGCTCCATTTTACTAGTGGTGACTCTGGGCAGGGAGTTCTTCCCACACCAACCCTGGAATGAATATATTTTCAAAAAAATAAAAACAAGGGGAAAATGTGATTTCAAATGCAAAAAAAAAAAAAAAAAAGGCCAGCATTGGAATAGGGTCTGAAGCTGCCTAAGATTCTTTTCGAAGTTGACTAGACTTTGTATGAAAGAGTTAACTCCATTTTTGAGCAGCGTATAAAGAAACAATACATGCCTAAAAAAAATAAATGGACTTTCTTTGCAATTTCCAATATCATTAATGTCCAACCTCAGTTTTAGCCTAGTACTGCACTGGATTCATATGTATTCCTGTTTAGGAGTGCAGCAGGCATGGCCCTTTCTGGGAATGGGCATCTCCAGACAGCAATGAGCACTGGGGTCTGACAGGCTCAGAGGTGCTGGGAAGACACACGTGCAGAGCTATTCCCACAGAGGATTGAGAGAATCCACATCCTGAGATACCCCACTGCTACATCTGAAGGTCTCATGAATCTCTGGACAGATGCATAACTAAAACTCCAGACATCTTCTTTCATAATTCAGCATGACCATCTACTTGACACAATAAATAAATAAATAAATAAATGTCCTGCTCGCTGGGATCTGTGGTCCTGGTGAAGTCACTCCACTGCTCTTTGTTTCCACGGACCCATCTGTCAAATGGGCTCACTCTGCACTTACCTGTGGGAAAGGGAATTAGCGAACATTTGTCAAGCAAGTGGAGGGGTGAAACTTGCTTCGTGAATGGAAGAACCTACCACATTCCTACAATAACGGTGCTAGGAGCTGTTTTGTTAAAATAAGCAAACCAAAATCCTTCCATTGAAGTTAACTGGCGCTTGGCAGCTTACAAACCCCGTGGCGAGGTGCCGCTTTTCCGTGACTCTTCCTGCACTTCTGCTCACCACCGGGAGGGTTTGGCCGAGGGGAAAAGCACCCCCCGACCCTTCCCAAAGACAGGGGTTGCGGTGCCGGAGCCTTTTCCGCACAAACTCGGCGCTGAACTCCGCGAGGGGCGGCGGGCCGGGGGCGCCCGGCCGGCACCTGCACGGATCCCGCGGCGGGCCCGGGCAGCGGCGGGGGGGGCGCGGCCCTCCTGTCATCCTGACTCCATTTTATTCCTGCCCATTCTCCATTTGCCGTGACAGCCCTGCCAGTCCCGCCGTCCCCGCGCCGTGCCCCGGCCCCGGCACCCCGGGAGGATGGCGGGGCCGGGGGGGAAAGCGGCAGCTGCAAGCCCCGCGGGGCGCGGGGCAGGCCGGGGGGCCGCACCGCTCCCCCCGCCCGCCCGGAGCCCGCGGCCACCCCGGGCCGGGCGATGGGGAAGGGGGGAGGGTGGGGTGTCCCTGCCCGCGGGGCCGCCCCCACCGGCAGCGGACTCCATTTTGCAGATGGTGGGAGGATCCCCCCGGCCCCGCCGCCCTCCATCACCGCATCCCTCCCTCCCGGGCACGGCCCCGTCCTCCGTCCCCCCCGGCGCTCCCCTCCGGCTGCTCCCGCCGGGCTCCGGGGAGCCGCACGGACGGAGCGTCCCGGAGCGGCGCGAGGGCTCCCCGCGCGTCCAGGCACAGGCGCGGGGGGTGCCCCGCTCGCCCGAGACCCCCGATCCCCTCACGGGGCACTCACGAAATTGTCGCCGCAGGCGGCCTCCGGGCAGAGCACGTAGAAGGAGACGCCAGGCTCGGCGTAGAAGTCCATGCGCCGCTCCGTCTCCTCGGCGGCGATGAGCTGGAAGGGCGTGCGGGCGCACCACCGCTCCGCCGCCTCCGCCAGCGCCTCGAAAGCCATCGCCGACCCCGCCGCCGCCGCCGCCGCCGCCGCCGCCGNNCCCGCCCGCCCCCCGCGCCGCGCCTCGCGACCCGCGCGCGGCTCCCGGCGCCGGCCCCGCTGGAATTCGCCGCGCACAATTGACGCCTTCTGGCGACTCGGGGGAGAGGGGAAATATAAAAAAAATAGTAAAGGAAAGCCCCACGCAGGAAGGCGCTGTCGGCGAGACCGTGCCTCGCCTCGCCGCTTCCCATCCCTTTTCCCTGGGACTGGGCCGGAATGTCGGCAGCGCCCTTTGTGCTGGGCACACGGGTAGCCCCTGCACTGGGTTCTCTGGGAGCCACCCACGAGTGGGCTGTTTTGCTGTCCAAATACAGGCAGAATCACCCCGTGACATTGGAAAGCTTTACAGAGGTTCCCCCTGGCCCAGTGTCCTGTTACCGTGGATCTGTGGGTTTAATGATGTTTGCATTACTCTTCCAAGTTTATCCCAAGGGAGTATCTATATGTTCAGCCAAAGCATAGGAGACAGCAGAGGTGATCTGCATTTATAAAGGGCCTTAGATTTGCATTGGTGTGCACTGTGCTGCAAAGGAGAATAAATCCTTACAGGCCTGTGTGGGTTTTCAGCGGAAAGCCCAGGAATTCATAGAGGTGAACAGGAATTCACAGAGGTGAACAAGAGCCACAGAGCCCATACGCGGCAGCGGGCAGAAAAGTTTGCACGGACAAAGAGAACACTGCCCTCTGAAGCAGCCCGGTGGCTGTTTCTGGTCTCCTGAGTGGTGTTCCAGTGCATTCCCATGGCAGGTACCAAAAGCCCAGCTGACTGGGTGGGTGTCACACATCGAACACTCCCATCCTATGTATCAGTTGGTGCACAAATCATTCGATGTAATGGCGAGGTCACCGGAGGTCTTTTCCAGCCTTAATGCCCCTGAGGCTGGCCGGGTTACAGCGTGGTGGCAATAACGATTCTAAGCTGCAGAGGGAATGTGACTGAGCGTGGCAGCACCAGCAAACCTGCGGCAAGGACACATTCCCGCTGCCTCCGGCTGACCTAGGGCACGCTCCGAGCGCCCACGCTGCTGTGCTCAGCTCCATGGGCACTGCCTGCCGCCGCTGGCTTGTCACAGGTGTGCGTGGCGCAGGTAGCAGAACTCGGTGCCATACCACAGGGAAAATCTGCCACTAAACCTGCGGCAAGGACACATTCCCGCTGCCTCCGGCTGACCTAGGGCGCGCTCCGAGCGCCCACGCTGCTGTGCTCAGCCCCACGGGCACTGCCTGCCGCCCTGGCTTGTCACAGGTGTGCGTGGCACAGGTAGCAGAACTCGGTGCCATGATACCACAGGGAAAATACACCACGGGCATTGCTGCAGAGCACTGAGGTATCAGGAAATGGCAACAACATGACTGCTTGTGCAACTGTAACTCAGCTCCTTTATGTATGGTGGGATGGCAGTGCTTGCTGTCCTTTCCAACAAAAGATTTTTAATTTATTTTGCACAGATATTTTGGATAATGCCCTCATTCCTGGAGTGCTCTTAGAGTGGCAAGTGCTGAACACTCCTCATTACACTTAGAGCTGTGCTCTGAATGTGCAAAACATGGCAAAAATTACCAGTGTTCCAAAACTCCTGTAGGTCTAGGTGCCTCAAATCTCAGAATATGGGTGTGCTCGTGTAGGTACTTATTCTGGTCCTGGCACATGTCTCTTCTCCAAGGCAAAATGAGGCAACATCAGTCTCTTACCTACGGCATCACTCTGGGGAGGTGAGCGCAGTAATAGCTGCAAAACACTCGCTGTGTGGGGTACCTGTGGAAGACCTGTGGCTCTGCAGGCAGCCTGGGGCTGGAGCAGTGAGTCCTGAATAGCTGGAAAGGAAGTCCTAAACCTCTTGCCACTCCTGAAGGAGCCAGGAGTCCTGCAGAAAACCAAATGTTACTGCAGGCTGTCGGAGTTCCAGGTGTTGGCGCAGCTGTGAGTCCTGTGCAGGACTTCTCAACTTTAATATTCTCTCATCGTTGGGTATTTGGTGTTTTCCTTCCCAAATACATTTAAGTAATTAGCACGAAAATAGGATGTGGGAATATCTTTTCTCCTGATATGTGACATTTACAGCTTGCCTGCAACCAGTGGGCAGGGAGCCACCACTTGGGCAGGTATCTCCCCTGCCACAGGGCTCAGCCATCAAGGTCAATCCCAATCCCACTGTCTCTTTGTGCTGCCCGGAGATCTGGCTTTGTTTTCCATTCTCCCCATGCTGGCATTGGGTGAGGACATGGTGGTGGGAGTGAAGCCTTGGCCTTTCCTGTTACTGTTGGGGCCATTGGGTTTGGGACCTCCCAAGGTGGGCAGACAGACGGACAGCCATGTCCTCCTGTCCGGCAGCGCCCTGGCCCATAGCAGCAAGGGGAGCTCAAGGCTGAGTTGCAAACAGGCACAGTTTCAAATAAATGCGGTTTCAGTGTAACTCTTACGATTTATGTGCGGTTTCAAAGCCCCACATAAACATCTTTTTAGTCCTTAAAACATCACTTTGAAGTATGTGGTATTCATTAGCTCCCTTCTGTGGAGTAGGGAAGCTGACAGGTTTCAAATGAGATTTTAAATATCTTATTGCAGCATGCACTGCAAAATCCTTTGTCACGTTTGAGGGTGCAGCCATTCATATCAGACAGATGTGATTATGTGTTTATTTACATGTGATGAGTCTCTTTGCTATAACACCAATACCCCAAAAGCAGATTATAAAAACAGTCTGGTGAAGAGTAGTGATTTTGGCAACGCAGAAGTGCTGCTTGCAGAGCAAGCCAGGCTCAGTGGCCCTGACCATTGTGCTGATGCCAGGGGCTGAGGGATGGACACAGGGATGTGAGGAAGGTGCAATGCTCTCAGCACCCTTAGGCCTCTCTGCAAGTCAAAATCAGAAGCACCTGCTGCTTCTTTTATGAGATGAGGAGATGGCCAACAGTGCTGTACAGTGCCTGAGCTTCTCTGGAATAGTGTAAACTGAAATCACACACATGGTTTTTCTTCCTGCTTGTTTCAAGTACCTGTGAGCATCCATGCCCCAAAGCATGGCCACAAAAGGGGAGCAAGTACCTTCTTGGGAAAGAAAGGGGGAGGGTCAAGGAGCTGTCTGCAAAGATGGTTTACAGAAGAGAAACCAGAGGGAAAGGAGTTTCCCGTATCCTGAGGGGATGCAGTTCTGTTTCCATCTCCTTCTGGAACACAGCATCTCTGATGCTTGCCATTGCCCTGATCCAGGCCATAGAGAGGGCAGGGAAATGTTGCTGGATCATTTCAGAGGGATGCCAGTAGCCAGTAACTATGACCAGCTGGAAAAGGCATTTCACTTTAAAGAGCATATGGAAAGCATTAGGAAGGGAGAGCACGTGCACTGCCATAGCCATGTTAGTTGGAACAAAAATATAAATAGCAGCATTTCACAGGTGACTTCTGGTTTTTGCAGGTTCTACAAAACAGAGAAATTAAAGAATCAGGTGAGAGGGGAGTTTCAACATGAGGGCTGAGCAGATAAACTAATTTTCTACCATTTGCATGGATTGGAGGAGGTGTGGACAGGAAGGTTTTCAAAGTAGCTGGCCCCTAGGAGTTACCTTTACAAAAGCCCTTGCCTCTGCAATGCCTGGTGATGAGTGTGGTCTAGAAGGCTAAGGAGGGCAGAGTACCTTGCTAGGTGTTTTCTATTTCTCTGCTCCCCCTGGACACAGTAACATCGGGGAAAAACATGTTGGGAAGGCGAAGCGAGAAGCTGCAGAAGGTGGAGGAACAGAAGGGTTTCTGAAATGTGTCAGACAAACACAACTTGCCTGCAGCTGTGGTGTCTCTCTGAAACACCGAGCCATTGTTCTCCTCTACAGTGGGTTAGAAATCTGACAAATTCAACTCATGGACTGATTTTTTTCTTCTTCTTTTTTTTCTGATGAAGTGCCCTCATTGGTCTGCTTTTGGTGAACTGCCAAGCAATTCGCACTCATTCGCCTGACCAGCTGTAAGAACCCGATTGCCCTCCTGCAGCCCTCATTAAGCACCCTCCCTGCTGATCCAAATACAGAAAGGTCAGGAGGGTGAGCTCCAGTAAATTATAAGAGATACATCCTTAGCTGCTGTGCTGTGTGTGCTGGTTCTCTTGCATCTCTACACTGTATCTGCAGCTTGGACTTCTAAGGAAAGACTGGTTCCCTTCTTCCAGAAAACCAAAGCATCAATAAATCCTAGGGGAAATAAAAGAGGTGAGGGGGATTGATCCCTTCATGGACAACCCCTCATAGACCTTTATACGATGTACCTCTAAAAAGAAAATATTTCTTATTTTTATCAGTACTGGTTCATTCACAACATGCTTTTCACACATCCAGAGTGTCCTTGACACTTGCACTTGTTTGAGAGAGGTGCTGGAAGAGCTGTTCCTGCAAAAGCCTGGTCAATGCAGGGCTTTCAGTGGTGTTTGCACCCTCACAGCATTTCCACTGAGCCTTGAACACCACTACATGTCCTGCTGCAGCACAGCAGCAGGGTGTTGTTCCAGGGGCTCAAGCTGAGTGACTGTTGGCCAACAGATCAGTTCTAGGCTGCAATCCAAGAGCCAACATGTTGGTATCTTGCAAATTGTTCCCACACCTTACTTCCCTGCTCCTGAAGATACTCAGCTTTCCAGACAGCAGTCTGTGTTTATCTTGTCTCTAATGAGGACCACAGCTGTGGCTGTCCTCTGCTTTGGGTTCCCTTTCTTTCTTTTTCTTTCTTTTTTTTTTTTTTAACCCAATGTTAAATGGAGTTGAGGAAAGAACAAGAAAACTTTGAGGAATAATCCAAGCCAAGAACATGTTGTAATGGGAAAGTGAGTTAGAAATGCACAGTTTCTCAATTAAATAAGTGTTAGTTAGAAATCTACATAGAATAAAGATCCTGCTGCTCGCACAAGTCCTCCTTTTGAAGTCAATGGTTCAACATCCTATTTCTTTGGCAGTAAAAAATTAAACACATAGTGATGAAGATCTGGGCTATGAAAAATCTACTTGCTTAATTAGCAGCTTTCCCTGGT